AGCCTGTCTAACTAACACGAGAGTCTGTTTATGAGGCGAATCCTAAAAAAAAAGGCTAGCGCGATGTACGGTGCGTGAACGCATTTTCCATCGTCAACAAAAAAAAAAGGTAACAAAAAAGTATTTAGTAATGCTTTTCTTAAATCCCGAAAACAAAAGACGATCGGCGAAAATTGTATGGGAAGCAAGGAAAATTAGGTTCAAACTACGAATGCGTGCGCCTCTTTTTTATATGCAGCCTGATACCATAACATATTACATAGCAATTTTATAAATTAAAAAATAAAAGTGTACTTTATTGATTAAAAAGTTATCTTACAATACAGCTAGCAGTACTGTAATGAGTTAATTTTATGTATGTGCGTTTATGAAGTACGTCTTTATAAAACCATTTTTCGACTCGTAATTCGAACATTTCGACATGAGTGTAGATGAAAAAAATAAAAACTATAGAAAAATGCGATATGAACCGTTTTTAATATCCATAAATATTATTACTGGTTTTCACAATCATAAAGTAGTCGTTTAATTATGTTTTTAGAAAATAAGTTAGTGAATTTATCAGAGCAACAAATAGCTCCTTTGTAGTTTGCATCATCTTTTGGAATTATTAAGCAATGCTAAACAAGAAATACAGGAAGTCCAATTGTAATAGAAGAAATTCAATATTTTCTTTGTTTTATGCAAGCGCAAGTAAATAGAATATCTTTTTATAAAGGGAAGGTTGCAAAATCAGATTATTTAACTTAATCTCTGAAGTAATACGTTTAAGGTACAAAGTGCAAACAAGGTTGTCTCTTCCATTTTATTTTACATCATCGACTGGGCTCTAAACATCTCCAATTACATTTTGAATGCGGTGAACATTAACAAATTACATATTGGTTTTAAGCACGCCAAGTTTACTACAAACGTATAGTGTTATAAAAAAACCTCGAGTTCTAAATAAACTCTGTCGATGGATGGAAATTACCTATCTTGAATTCTCAAGTGATACTTTTTACTAATTTTATTAGGACGGGCTGCATTTAAAAACGTTAACACCGAAATTTATCTTAATTGGGACGTTGACAGGGGCTTGGGCTTTGCATATGGGATTAACCTCAATACAAAAGATCTTCTCACACCAACAAATCGACACCTAATGCGCGTATATATGTCTCAGGGGTTTTCATTGCCTTTCAACAAAATAAACCATTTTACAGAAGTAGTAGTGGGTGTACTAGCGGCTGATTGGTGTAGAGAAGAAGCTAGTTTTTAAGAAGATTGTGATCTAATAACACTATAACTATCGTCTTGAACACGATTGATACAGACACAGAACATACCAAGTGTATTTAATTTTAAAAGAAATACCAATCGGAAAGTTTAATTATTACATCTGCGAAAAGTTAAGACTGCATCATTAACAATTCGACGCAGTTGATGGTATCACAAGAGCGCGATCACTGCCTCCTTTCCGTGCCCATCGGACGAAGGTCCAAGTTATTCCTGCCAGCAGCGTCGGCATTCGGGAAACCGATTAAAAATTCCACAAAAAACAGCTCTGCGTCCAATAATTTAAGGTCAAAAGGAAGCGTGATCTCGACGGCTGCGCGGTGTGTATAAAAATTATTTGCGTGGGGCGGCAATTAGGGGGGCGGGGCCGTCTGCGTGCGCGACCTCTCGACCCGTGCGCCCGCGCCGGCCGTGGACACTCGTCCTGTCACGCTGACGACGGACGCGGACGGCCCAACTGAAGAATTTCGAAATTGCAACGCCTCGCTCTCGCCCTCACGAACTCACCTACTTTCCTCTGTTCTTTTTTGAAATTTTTCATTTCAAATTTACTTACTTGCTACTTCTAAAATACTTATAAGTATAACATTTTGTTTCACGTATCTTTCTTTACATTTGTAAATTCCATACACCACAAATCATTTTTTTAGCGATATAGGATTAAGGTTAATGAAAAGTTTGTATACACAACTACGTTGTTGTAATAAAACTGTTATATTACGTCCATATTAATTTTGTGCTAGTCTTTTTTTTAGGCTTAACAGCTCCAGCCCCTCTAGCATGACCACCGAAAAGGGATATGATAAAGCTTTTAATCGAATCTCAACTGTCTAACTCCACTGTAGTCTGACAGTTAATGCCGATATACGCTTTATCATATCCCGTTTCGGTGGTCATGCTAGAGGGGCAGGAATCTGTACATTACCTATTCCCTTTAAAAGTAAAAAGTATAGTTCAGTTCAGTGACTCGAATCCACTCGGTATTGTATGATTGTGAGTTGAGATGAAGATGTTAATGTGGGAATACATCCCGGCAAACTTCTTGAGCAACTATCATAGGAAGCCTGCGCAGTAGCAATTTTGCATAAAAAAGTCTAATCTGCGCAAGTTTATTTATCTGTGGTTTTTCACAAGAAATTTCATCTCTAAGAGGCCCTCCCCATCCGTTTCGAGTGCACATTTAAATGCACCCGTCCCCAAGCGCATTATGCGGTATTTGAAACTAACACAGCGCTGCATCATCCCCTTCTCAGGGAATGATCGCTTTAGATGAATCTTTGAAGGCCCTTCTGGCCATAAGCATGTAAGTTGCTATACAGGTATCTTTTAGTAAGTCAGAGTATGACATAACCTTGCTGCCGGCTGTACGGTATCCATGAGGATTAAACAGTCGCTCCCCTGCCTGGGAGGAAACAAAAAAAAAACTCAAGAAGTTCGCTGCTACCTACCTATACGTATTTATTTTTACTCGAGTCTAGCACGTTTGTTTAAGGTTATAATTAAAAAAGAAACACCATCTGTGCATTACATCTGTACCCTTAGTACAACCAATATACGATTCGAATAGTAGAATTCGATCGATCTCTTATGGAAATTTGAACAGTGCCACAACGGACGTAACGAGAACTAAAAATCAGTACACATTTGACAATGACATTTCGCACTCGCAAACGTTACGAATTCGATATTGGTTCGTGCTAAGGGTACTTTACTATGAATGCAACTCGTAAAAATAGGGAGTTGCTCCAAAGAACATAATACGTCGTATTGATAAGATCAAGCGTTGGTTACATGTCTATTCTACAATTTCAATGGCTATTGGCATTCTATTTTAACGTCGTCAGAAGAGATGCAATTATTGATACCTACTCCTACTACAGCCAGGTATACTCATGCTCGGGAGACTGCGAGATGCGCAAGCGCACGCTACGTTCTTTCGCCGCGTCTGATGATAAGTGGGCGGCGTCACTCGAAATTAACCCGACTCTAGGCGTATCTGATGCGGTGTGCTCTTTTAGCTGAGCTCACCTTTTTGTTTTGTACTGCAACCAGCCATGAAGACGATTAATTTGCGAGATACATTGCGCATTTAATAAACAAGCACTTATGCAATGGAACGGAGAGCACGGTAACTGCTTAAGTGGGATACTTCTATATATTTTTTCATTCACTTTGACTAGGATTTTTACAGTTTTGCATTCCAAATTACTTAGTCCGCCCTATTGAAAAATTGTTGCGATAATCGAAATTCCTGAAAGAGAAATCGTCAAGTGCGATTGATTGCACATGATTTAATCTTAGCCTGATGTGTTTGGGGCCCCTTATTGTCACACTTTGGATGCTTCATTGCTTTGATAAAAATTCAACTTCTATTCAGCATACATACACAATTAATATAAAAGTAGGTAATTGAAAAACAGTGTGAACAAGAATTTCATTAATTCCATGTTTTGCCGAAACATAATTATGCTCGCTCAGTTGTACGTTACTTTAGCTTCAGAGTGAAAGGGGCGGGCAAATTGCGCGTAGGCATTCCTACTACACGGTATAGAACCATAAAAATAAATACGGTTAAAAATATATTAGTTTGTTTATACAAGGTTCAGCAAAATTACTCCACCCCACCTGATGTTAGGACTAATGAAAATTAATTTATAGGTATATATTTAGAAATAGGTGTGGAGATGGCTGTCACATACATAATAGATAAAAACCCACTCAGTCCATTTAACATTAAAATTTACACTCAAAATATAAATAATACACCACTTACTCTTAAGTATTGCTTGCAACCTTAAACTTATATACTTAACTTTCATCGCTATTGCTGTAGAAGACAACATAATTATGAACACATTACTTTGACAAGCATTAAAATATATAAGCCGTCTCTTGAGAATTGTTGAACATACATAGCGAAACTAGAGAGAATTCTACATAGTGGACTTCGTGATGGAAGGAGTAAAGAAACAATCATTATCCACATTTAATTCGCCCGGGAATCGAACCCTCTGACCTCGGAGATTGGTCGACCGCAAGTGCAACGTTGTGGCAACGTGTTTGCCTCTCAGCTAAAAAGAGATCGTTGTAATTGTATAAACAATGCTACTTACTCTCTTTGAACTTCCTGAAGATTCTCTTCATATCGCTGCCTCCGAGTTGCCAATAGTAAGGTTAAGGACACTAGTAACATATGATTAGTATTTGTAGACAGGTGCGCCGTGGCACGCGCGCACCGTGAATGCAGTGGCTGATAACGCAACCCTACTGGTGCTGGCGTTACGGCTGGACGCACATGCCGCGCCGTACCGCTCTGGAGTATACCAACCTCGTGGTACAAACACCGATATGCTAGCCATTCCTTGGGTGACAACAGCAATGAAAAACCTTTAAGATGACTCCCGATTGAAAGATGTTTTTATATTTAGCTCAATCTTTTCCACGTAGATTCTACCAAACGTCGGCATTGCTATTCTGTAACAACAAACTCACTTCACCGCAGAATCATCAATCAAATTTCGCACCTCCGGTGCGACACTGTCACTTATGCAAAAACAATTTTTTTTTCAGGAAGAGCGTTTAAAACTTTAACATCCCAAAACATACAATATTTAAAGATCTTTACGTGATGAAAAGCTTAAACTGCTTAGCTATTCATCTAAAAAAAATAAAAAAAATCTTTAAATATTGTTTGTTATGGGATGTTAAAGTTTTAAACGCTTCTCCTGAGGTGCGATTTGTATTCTACTTTCAAATCGCACATGGATTCCGTTGTGAGAAGTGAGATTGATCTTACAGAATAGGACAGCAGGTTGGAAAAGGCATGGATTGCCCGACATATTTTAGCAAGGTAAATTTTTCGGTACAGTGACATAATTACCATGCTGAGTCAATTGTCATGTCATGTAAGTATCTCTAAGGTAAAGTAAAAATGTGTAATGTGTTGGAAGTTTTTTCACATAAGTACTAACTGAAATATCTAGTCTCGGTTTCGTTGGCAGTTAGGTGTTATAATTTTGAAAAGAAATGCAAGTGTACCTTTATTCCAATTATCATCAAAAGAATCAATTAGCATTTTCCTAAGAAATCCGAAATTTTTTATTTAAAAATCTATCGATAGAAGTTGACCGAAACTAAAAATCAAGGTTTATGTAATTAATATATTGTTTGCTGAAAACCTATATAATGTACGAACAACGAATAAAAAAAACGTAAAGCTAAGCTGTAGAACCCTAATTTAACAGTGCTTTGAACTTACAATTCCGAAGCCGTACTTTACAGCGGAAGTGCGCTTGGCTTGCTTGGCTAAGCAAAACCTCTCGCCAAGCGCGACGAATGTGTGATATACTTGCACAACCGAATAGCTTATGTCTAAAAAGAGAAAAAGCTTGGAAAAACATAAATATTGAAGAACCTCTACAACAAACTTCATAAATATGTTTTTGTTGCCAAATATAAAAAAACATGTACTATTGACAATTCCTGTTTATGTCATCATTATGACAAAGTATAATATTTATTTGATATTTCCTGCATCTATCTGTTTACTTAAGCAGGTATTATTGTAAAGTTATTAAGTCCTAAAGTCATAGTTTATCTGGTTTAGCAGGTAAATATCTGTACATTGCTTATATAAATCATTTATATTAACAAAAATAATGTCTATCCTCGTCAGTGAAGGTTCTCGGGAGATAAAAGATCGTAGTAGTTGCAGAACATCACTAAACAGCTGCGATGAGTCCCCATCGAAAGTCAGTAGACTCACTACCCACAGTTTTATGGAGAAACGGGAAATGTACAAAGTTGTGGTGGACGGGGTCGACTGTACGCCAGACAACATTGTGGACACCCAGTATGTCACTATGGAGGGTATGTTCAGCCACGCCGCTTTCGAAAGCAAAGCGCGCATCAAAAGCGAATTGGCGCTCAAAGACTCCAAATCCAGGACCAAATCCGCCATAGACACGGGAATGAAAGTGTACGCCACCACGATCTCCCTTGACGACATCCATATCGATCACACATACAATACCGAGGAGGGATTTCTATCACAGGACGTCGATTTAGACATTGCACCATCCGCGTTTTACTTGCCTAAACTCTATCCCGTCATGTCTTACCCACCGGAAATATTCGTCGTGCTTAAAGAGACCGAAACCCAATTCTTGTTCGAGTTACCCTCGTTTTCATATGACAAGGGGACGACCGAAGGTAATGCCATCGAAGAAGAAAACGAATACTATCAATACATAACGGTGGGTAAAGGCAGAAACAGAAAAATGGTTATAGAGGAGACTCAAACCAAAGAAAGCGTGTTCCAATCTCGGCATACTCTTGCGACTAGACCGGAGAAGAAAAACGCCATGGCATTCGCGTCCATGTGGGATATGCACGATACTTATGCTAGGTTAGCGCTATTCAAACCCCAAGAAGAACCAGACGAAATGGTTCTGTACCAGTCAGCGGAACCGACATTGTTGCGTAAAAAGAAAATAAAAACCGAAGAAGTTAGTTTGAGAAAAGGCAAAACTTTTGAAGAAATCGCTCCTACCGCCGAATTCATGGATGCAGTCCTTTTAGCAGAACGTGTACTGTCCACTCTGGAGTATTCAAAGCAACAAAAAAGGTTCCGAGGTCTAGTTCCAATGAATCCATTGTCGTTAGAGTTGATATACACTTACACAATGAAACCATTGTGGACGTTCGAATGCGAAGACACAATAAATCGTCCGATTACCAGCATATCGTTCAATCCGAAAAATGAAAACATTATAGCTGTAGGACACGGAAAGTTCGGGCATGCCGAGAATTACGATGGCGTTGTTGCTATTTGGTGTACAAAGAACCCTTGTAAGCCAGAAAGAATATACCGCTTTGACGATCCACTCACAGCTGTGTCATTTTCAGAAAGAAACCCCAACTGGTTAGCGTGTGGGTTTGCTAATGGCGACGTCCTCATATTGGATATTACATCTTATCCTGTCAAGCAAATAGCTCAGAGCAAACGAGACACCAATCCCTGCTTTGAACCTATCTGGGTGACGTCCTGGCGCTCGTTAGAAGGGAAAACGGAGTACGTTATGACCGCGTGTCAAGACGGACGAATCAATAAATTCATTAACACTAAGACGCATGACTTTATCTGTACTCCTATGATGCGCTTGTCCACTGTAGAGGGTAAGATGAAAGGAATAGAGTCAGGCAAGCCGTGTCTGAAGGTGGACGTTCCCATAACCCGCTACCCTGCGGCATTGTGCATGAAGTGGCATCCTAGCATCGACCACATCTACATAGTGGGCAGCGACGAGGGATGTATACACAAATGTTCGACGCACTACTTGAACCAGCACATGGATGTGTTCCGGGCACATTCAGGGCCCGTATATAGCATGGATTTTTCGCCGTTCATGAAATGTTTGCTGGTGTCCTGCGGGGCAGATAACACTGTCAGGTTGTGGTTGGAGGGCGTGGATGACGTCATTATGACTTTGAACTGTCCGTCGGCGGTTTACGGCGTCGCTTTCTGCCCGATAAATTCTACAGTCATCATATCGATAAGTGGCAACGTGTTGTCTATATGGGACCTCCGTCGCAAGAATCACATGCCGTGCGCTGAGTATTCGTTCCCCAATAACGTGGTGCTGACATATATAAAGTTCTCCGCATCGGGAGACAACGTATTCGTTGGAGATACGACAGGGCGGGTGCACACGTTCCATCTAGAAGACACGCCCATTCCGCCCTTCTACCAGCGACAACTGCTCGACGAGGCCATAAAGAAGGCGCTCTGTACAAGACCGCAAATGCTAAAGCAATTGGAGAAACTCGGGAAGTGCAAAGATAAAAATACAACAGATCCATAACATCGTGTCAGTCAGCTATCGCTAGATAATATATTTTTATATCTCTTTTTTAACACCTTTAATATAATAGATGTTCTTTAGGGAACTTTTAAAAGTTAGATACATATACTACGGATCCATTGAATCGTGTGCCTGTCCTAAAATATATGTAAAATATTTTTGTTTTTTTAAATACATACACAACAAACCTTGTTTAAGAGGAGCATCGTTAATAAATGAAAATATTGAATTTGTAAATAGCTTTATTACTTTTTTATACCCCTATAAAAGGTACAAATTGCACTTAAATATAATAAATATTATTATAACTAGAAAAAAGAAATGCTATATTTATAATATTGAATGATTTGCTAAAAGTTACTTCACAAATGACTAGGGTTTATTGGAGAGCTTTTGAAATTGGTATTCTTTCTTCAGTTCTTTAAGATTAGCTTCTAATATCGCCACCTGCAACAACCAAGTATGAGAAGAAGTGAATTTATACATTTAAAAAATGAAATTTTACAATCACGGCACAATTTTGCTCAGTATGTAAGAACGTATTATGAATACGTAAATTTATTTTTATCGACGACCTCCGTGGCCGAATGGTTTGTACGCCGGGTTTTAAGGGTTCCCGGGTTCACATCCCTAGTGGTGGCAGATGTTTGTGTGATGAATACGAGCACATGTACTTCAGTCAACGATATTAAATACCCTAGATACACCACAAGCGCTCAAAATGTGTCCCAATCAAGAAGTGCTTGAACTCTACTCAAGCACTTTGTCACAGAAGTCACAGTCATGCGCGGACCGTTGAAAAGTCAAGAAGTCAAGATGATGTGTATATGTGGTATGTATGTGTATATGTATATGTAAGTGTATGATAGACAATTGCTTATATGTACGTATATTATATTAATTACATGTTTACATTTCTTATCGACTCTGCTGGCTTACTACATCTTCTTTTCCTTTTAGCTTACCTATACCGCGAAGGTTGTCTGGAAGAGATCGCTTGCAGCGATAAGACCGCCTTTGCCCATATCTATACTTATAATAAATCTGTAGAGCTGTCAATTCTGTACAGCAAATATATTTTTAAAATAACTATCAGGGGGTGATTAGTGATCGATACTGATGCCAAAAATGCAATCAGTAAAATTTTTGTCTGTCTGTCTGTCTGTCTGTCTGTGTGTATGTTCCTTATAGAAACAAAAACTACTCAACGGATTTTAACGAAACTTTGTACAATTATTCTTCATACTCCTGGGCAGGTTATAGTATACTTTTCATCACGCTACAATCAATAGCAGCTGAGTAGTAAAGGGAAATGTTGGGAAAACGGGAGAAGTTACTCCATTTTTTAAGCTTCCGTCGCGGGTGCAGCCTTAATGGTTAAAGTTACATAGAAATCATGTATGACGGAAATATTCTACATAAAATTATGTAAAAAATATCCCGCAACAGCATATATCTATCTTTTATGGTTGACTCACAATAACACGTGTAATTATATAAATAAAGTCATTCTTTATAGCACAAATCTGAGAACAAAAACTATAGTTTACACTACAGCTCTACACCGAAGCGAAGCGAGGGCGGGCCACTAGTTATTGTTAAATGTATTCTTTGTACCTATGTCGTTTTGTATGCGAGCAATAAAGTGTTTATTATTATTATTATTATGTCGCAGAGCTCCGTTAAAAAAGGCAAAAAAAATAATTATAGTACGTAAAGTGTCGTTTTTTCGACAGGTATCTAATCAATGTTTGTTAAACTATAAACTGATTTAAGAGCACTTTTACAAAATTGCGCCGCTACCGTACTGATCAGCGCGTAGGTAGATTTGCACTAGTATATATTGCATTTTACGGGTGATGTTTCGAGTCTTATAAAATAATTATTAATGAACTAATTATAAAAATATATACATATTTCAGTAGTTCAATGATGGTGTAATTTTATGATAGTTTTTGATAGTAATTCTATTTAATTCAATATCAAAATACGACATAAACCTGCATTAGTTTTTGGAAAAACTTACGGAGGTTAGATGTTTTTTTTTTTTTATAATTAATGAAACGTAGTAATTAATTTGATCTAATTTATTGAACATTATTGAGAGATTGAGGCGTTTGAAGTTGTGCATATCATCATTTTTTCCGTAAACTAACTGCAATAGAACGATCAGTACAAAAAAAGGAAAATAGTATTTGCAAATATTCTACATTAACTTACAATAGAAAGAATAAATCTACTGTTTGCTTCTATTGTAAATAGTGAAAATCTTTTCTAAGGGGGTAAACGAGGCGCTCAAAAATTACGATTTTTTGCAAAAAATGTGAAAGTGTTCTTAATATAAAATATTTGTGATATTCAAACGCATGATAGAGATAGCTAGCGGTCTCTCATCTTCTTTCTCTTTCTACTAGACGGACACTTTTAGAGCAGCCTTCCTTACTCTATTCTTATACCTCTATGCCCAGACTTCATTCTTTGGGGCTACTTGAAGTCTCGGGTTTAAGCCAACAGGCCTACGACTGATTTCGCTGCTACAACAAGAACTACATCGCTTACATTAACGTACCTTTCTCCATCCTGGCCTCCTTGATGTATCCGTATGATGTTCATCAGCCGGCCTTTTCGACAATTTTTTTGACATTTACAGTGTGTAACTAAAGATAAAATTGCATATCCACCGACGCTTTTCAGAACAAATATCATAGTGACGTTTTAATAAAGCAGTAGTGGATCACTAAACAGCTCGGTGATTATCACTTCATCTGTCAAAAGCAGTTAGCGAATAGGCCTGCTGATCCAACAGCGGGTCATCATCATTGACTATTTCCCCTACTACGATAGCACTAGAACCGACGGTCTACAAGATCTCGCCTCCTTTATGTATCCCGGTATGATGTTCATCTGATTCAACAGCGGGTCATCGTCATCGACTCATTTCCCCAATACGATAGCACTAGAACCGACGGTCTACAAGATCAACATTAATGTACCTCTTAGAACCTCAACTCCTTCCTGCCCCCTAGCATGAGCATCGCGATATCGCACCTTTAGAATTGAAGTGACTTAAATGAAAAAAATAGCAAATTGACTTATAAACGTGAAACTACATAAAAACACGTATTCTATCAGTTTATTATAAACAGACTCTTTTAAGCCAGAAGAAGACAGACGTACTATTTCCGTCTCTTTTAAATGACACGCATACCGCGCCTCCCTCGGTATTGAAGTACCCCATTCAGTGTTGCGTGGACATTTATTTAATTTTCCTTTAATTTAGAAAATCATTAATTATTAAACTAGCATATTACAAAATTGGTAATCTATCAAATATTAGAAATGTATCGCCTCTTTATTAAATAGTTACGTTTTTGTTTTACGTTGTTTAGTAAAAAATGGGCAGAAAGTGAAATAAGCCACTTATAATAAACTGTTTTCGGAAAATAAGTGACATGTCTTTTTTTGATGATTAATTAACAAAGGTTCTAATTAGTTATACAGACTGGTTTAGTAAACAATCGTGACAACAATTCCTATCTTACCATTAACAATAAAAAATATGATAACAAACGTATAACTTATAGCATTATATTAGAAAAACAAAAAATGGCCAACTTGTTAATCACGTTTTTAGCGTTTACCAAAAAACAAGAATTTAGATTAGGTCACTTTAATTCAAGGTGCGATATGATATGTAACGCGTTTTTAGTTTATCGTCATCATCATCGACTCATTCCCGCAATACGATAGCACTTGAACCAGCGGTCTACAAAGATCTACATCCACATTAACGTACCTCTTCGAGCCTCAACTCTTTCCTGGCCTTCTTGATGTATCTCCATATGATGCTCACTTGTTCCAGCAGCCGATCATCGTCATCAGGTTGTTCCGTCACTGCAACACCACTAGAGAAGTGTTCTGAAAAATTTACATCTACATTTACTCACTTCTTCGAACCTCAACTCCTTCCTGGCCTCCTTGATGTACCCCCGGATGATGTTCATCTGTTCCAGCAACGGGTCATCGTCATCATCATGGACTCGTTCTGCCACTGAGACGCCACTAGAACTAGCAGTCTCATTGGCCCGAAGCCCCTCAGCCTCCAATCTCCGTCGCTCCAACTGTATTTGTCTCTCGGCCCGCTCGTACCGCTGCCGGCGCACATCCTCTATCTGCGCTTCAGTCGGCAACTTGCGCAAGGATAATAGATCTTCCTGAGAAAAACGCAATTCTCTAGATTTAAGTCTAGTCTCTCTTAAGAGAGGTAGGGCATAGAGGATTTTCCGCTCGAGTTGGAGAACCCGTCTGGGGAAGTTACCTGCATCTTACAGAAGACTGCAGTAAAATAACAATGCCTTTCAGTGGTGTTTTTGACCGTGAGTAAGATTCCAGGGCTCAGGGTAGGCAAAGGCGCGACTGATATTTTTTGTATTGCAAGCGTATATAGGCTATGGTGGCCGCTTACATTCAGGTGGACTATATGTATGTTATCATTTTAACATAAAAAAAAGAGTCATTATCGACTTTTGTGTCATTGGGCAGAGCAACAATACTCGTTACTCGGGTCAATTACAGACCTCTTTCTAGTGTGATGCATTTTTCTACCATTGTGTTTATAGGCGATTGTGTGATAAAGAAAGCACTCCACTAACTAATTTCTTGGGACGGAGTTTATTTTGATGGCAAAAGTACCAGTTTAAGGCAAAGAAACCGCGCCAGTTATATAGGTTGTGGCAAACTTCTTGAGCAAAACAGGTTCAGGTTTTGAAAAAAAAACAAACTTGCGCAGAAGACATTATTGTATGTAAAATTGCTACATGCAGGCTCCATGTCTGTGCGGGGTGTGTTGTCGCCTATCGAGACTGGAATTACGACGAAGTGTTTAAATTATTGAGCTATAATATAATAAGTTGGGGGAGGACTATACTCAGCGTTGGGCGTCGTACGGCAGCAATCTTGGCTAGGGTTCCATGAAATAAAATGGGTTTCCACCTCATTAAACATCAATTCACTTATGGTCTCATTCAACCATCAATTAACATACTTTTACATTTCCATATATGCTGCAATAAGTTGGGTTTTATTTTATTCTACTCTTATTGATTACCTTTAGTTTTGATGACCACCGTGGCAGAGTGGTTTGTACGCCGGGTTTCATGGTGTCGCCGACTCGAGAGGTCCCGGGTTCGAATCCCGGTGGGGGCAGATGTTTGTGTGATGAATACGAGCATTTATACTCCAGTCATGGATGTTTCATATGTATTTCTATATAAATATACTTATATATGTACAGTATGTGTATTCTATGGATTACCCTAGTATCCCATAACACAAGCCTTATAGTGCTTACTTTGGGGTTAGGCTAATTGGTGTGAGTGTTGGTATGTTAATTTACATTTTATTTACCTTAATATAGTGAGCTGCTGCCTGCCTGATGGCAGAATGAAGGCGCGCCTGGCGGGTACCGGGAGTGACAGGGTGCGCCGCAATCTGCTTGCTCAGTAAATCTATACCCTCGGCCAGCTTGCCAATGCGACCACGCATCGCATTCACGTCTGATAGGTTGTACGTTGTCTCACCATCAAAAAGGCTTTGACACATCTATAAAGGAAAAATCTATAATAATACTGAAACTCATAAGTCATGGTTAAAGTGTGCTAGAAAACAGGGTTCCAAAAACTATTTGAAAAGTTTATAAACTTTTAAGGTTTTTTTTCATTTAGTGACCATTGCTGTCAAACTCTTTTTTTATAAACAAAATATTTTTTTACTCCTAAGCTTTTCACAAATTTTTTGTTATATATTCCATAAAGCTATCATTTTATATTTTAAGTTCATTACATTGTACTTACAACAATTTCTCTTTTAATTTTGTTTCTATATTCAGAAAGATAAAATTACCTTTTCATACATAGCAACAGCAGGCCTGGCTTGCTCCATCAAACTTCTCATCTGTTCATAGGCAGTCATAACTACAGTCTTCGCATTTCTACTATCTTGCACCTGTTTTCTTAGTTCAACAAGATTGTAACAATGTTCACATAGCCTGAGACCATTCTTCTCCAGTGATTCTTGGTCCTGTTCTTCTGTAGAAATTGGTGCTGATGGATCAACAATTGCTCCTAAAATAAGATTAAAAACTCTGCATGTGAATATGTCATACAGTAATAACTACAAACAAATAATAAAATACTTTTGCAGTTACGAAATGGCCCCGTTGCCATGGATTAATTTTAAAATTATAATAATTTTTTAAGTTGCAATACCATAGTACCCTTGATGCTTAACCATGTCTGTAACAAGGGCGGATCCAGAGAGGGGGGGGGGGTACAGATGTACCCTTTACTTGTATCTTTTATTAACAAAATTTAATTAAAACTTATGACTCGACCACGACTATATGACCCCCCCTGGTGCCAAAGCTGGATCTGCCCTTACTCTGTAATGCATATTATGAGTATAATAACTATGTATGTATCAATTATTTATGATTTCTCAAGAATAACAATTTTGTTTTGTCTTCATACCAAAAAAAGCAACTTACGGGCTATGTTTAAGTCTAGGAAAAGTGAACAGTCGTGACATAATATAGATCCACAGAGCCTGCAGTGATGTTTTCTTCTTGTGATGTTGAAGGCTTTAGCACAGTTAGGACAGAGTTTGACGGAAGAACCATCTAGCCACGGCACAATCTACCAAAGACAGAATAATGGAAATGATGTTAATACAGGTTATCTATAAGTTTAAAACAATATAATGTAATCAAATTATTTTACTCGCCTGTTGCTCAAATTGTTTTCGTTGATTTGGTTCGGTTGGCATATTGCACACTAATTTGTCTAGTCTTATCAATAACTTATTGGTCTCTGTAGCATACCTCTCTAGTCTAGCTGACCTTACTGCTTTAAAATAGTCCATAGAACTGCGAGACACACCTACTACTTGTTCTTGTGAATAATAAGCCTCCTCTTGGTAGTTAAATTTTAACGCTTTATCAAAGGCCTCTTTGAGGTCGGTATCATCATTGTTGAGTATTATTTTCTTAGCTTTCCCGAATATGTCCTTCAGGGATTTAAGGACGTCTTGTTCCTCTTGGTGCAGACTCTCGAAGTGACTCGTGAGTTGCGAAGCAGATTTTAGATCCGCTTTGCATATAGGACACAGAAAACCTTCTAATATCTCGTCTTCGTTAGCAGCTGCCATTATTTCAAATTGATTAAAGTACTAACAGTACATTATAATTATGCCGCACTAGAGAAACTTTGAAAATATTAAGAGAAACTATAGTTTATCAACACAAACTCCCCTTCCCGTTCCGATGATTAATTTTGATTATGCGTTTTGTTTTCTACTCATTAATTTCGTTTTTGTTAGAAAGTCTTGGAGTATTAGATATGATAATTAAAAAAAACTTTGAGATGATAAAACTAAACTTTTTATTTATTTCTAAGCTCATTTCCCTAATATTGTTCATTTCATTTGTAAGCTTTTGTCCTCTTTGAATTTTTGGGTAGTAAATAGGTTGGGTCAAAACGCAAAACGTCATAAAGTTGACAATGACATCGAAACATCAAAAAATCTACGGATCTTACGGCCTTGGAGCTACGCTTAATGGCCCATTTATTTCATTTATACGAGCAACGGTTGATTGAATCGTATTGATGTAGATTCTGGCATGATTCTCTAAACCTTAACTTAATTGGACACCAGTATATCCTTGTCATTCTCTATACGGAATGAAAAGGGGAGACTGATGTTAAATTTAGTTTTAAGTAAAGAGAATCATGCCGAATTCGTTTAAAAAATTGTCTCTTTTTTACTTTACCAGCAGGATTCTGTAAGGTTGTGTCTCATACATTTATGGCCAGTTCCAATCAAACTGTAGTAAGAAATGGGCCTACTGTTGCTTAAAGGCGGACCAGATAATGTTTATAGTTTATGGGGAAGGGTTTGAGCATTTTCTGTTCGTATTATATTCACAAATGGTTACTTTTCAGCAGTGAGTGCTCCATGCAGACTGCGTCTGCGCGATTAAATATAGTCAGTCACGTTGCCGGTCCTTTGACTCGCACCCAAAAAACCGACAAAATAGGGAGCAGTGGTCATGATATGCACCATGACGGGTAATGTTGACACACTACGTCTCTGCCTCCTTTCCTTTTGTTTGGTATAACCGATATTTTATACTAAATAAATTAATTTTATGTCATTTAAAACAACTTACCTCTGAGCACAATCTGCGACATGAATCATTTTGATCTACGTCTCTGCCTCCTTTCCTCACTAGCACAGAGTACATCTATATATAACTCAAAGGAGACTGGACGGATCGGGCTAAAATTTGGCATGCAGGTAGATGTTATGACGTAGGCATCCGCTAAGAAAGGAATTTGATCAATTCTACCCCCAAGGGAATAAAATAGGGAATGAAAGTTTGTATGAAACTTTGTCAATTTTAAACCGATCGGGCTGAGACTTTGCATGCAGGTATAAGAAAAATCATAGATGAATGTCACTGTGTATAATACAAGCCTGAGAACAAAAACTGTAGTTTACACTTCAGCTCTACACCGAAGCGAAGCGAAGGCGGGCTGCTAATTGTTATATATGCCACTATTTCCCACACCACTCGTCGAGTGTGTGGCCCTGCCATTAGAGCTCACGGGGTCTCAAGTGTGTGAGTGGTTTGAGGAATTATTTTATTGTCACTCAGTAATTATGTTATTATAAGTAAGAATTCAGGATATAATAAAACCAACTCATTAGATACACGTTAAATTTGATATATTCAGTAACAATATCGAATATTTCTGTTAGACGTTGTATCAAATCTTCAGTGCCGGGCCAGGGTTGTTTCTCGGCGCGACGCAGCACCGCCTGCCTCGTGAGGCGTGCGGAAGACAACTGCTGATCGCATTGTGGTATGACAAGATGAGGGTAGTTATAGCAAGTTTGTCTACTGCATACACTTCTTATTTCTTCTCACACAGTAATTTTGTTATTATAAGTTAGAAAACGGGATGAAATAAAACCAACTCATTACACGTTAGATTTGATATATTCAGTGACAGTATCGAATATTTCTGTTAGATGTTGTATCATATCTTCAGTGCCGGGCCAGGCTTGTTTCTCCGCGCGACGCAGCACCGCCTGCCCCGTGAGGCGCGCGGAAGACAACTGTTGGTCGCATTGGGAGATCTCCTTCTCTTCGGCCTCTTGTCGTGCCTTCAAACTGAGCTCTAGGAGATTCTGTGCTAGCTCGATCACTTGTTTGCACGTTTCGGGACTATTCGACCAGTTGCCGTCCTGTGGATAAGGGATTTTTTATTAATAAGCTAGCTGTGCCCCACGGTGTTACCCACGGTTTATAAGGGATATTTTTTTTTAGTAACAAACATACACACTCACAAACTTTCGCCTTTATAATATTAGTGTGATTACAATGTTACTGACGTAATTGCATTTTCTGCAGTGAACATACTTTTATCGTTTGGATACTTGGAAAGAAGAATGAATGTTACCGACAAAGGAGGTCAAAGTATACTATCAATTACTCGTTGATGTTAATATATTTTTAAAAGAAAATAAAATGTCATTCTATCAATTTATGTCACCGCAGAGCTGGTTTTTATTTATATTATTTTCCGTTTTTATTTCTTTCGTTTACAAAATTGGTCCTTCGAGCCGGATTAGCAAGCTTGGAAGTCGGTGCCAGCCTCAAGTCTCATAAAGTAAAGTCTACGTCTCGGACAGAGGCTTGGGAAGCCGACCAGGTACAATCCAATAAACTTTTATTAGGCAAACCAGGCGGTCTTGTGCAGGAAAAATGTCCATCTGAGGCATCCATTGTCACAAACGAATGTAAACATCAGTGTTCAGATATAAACAAATTAGCCAAAGCGATTACATCCGCCATGAGTTCAAAGAAAATAGAGAACTTGACTCCTTTTAGTGGCGGTCATTTAGAATGGCTAATTTTCAAAAAGAATTACAATTTCTCTAAAGATTATTTTTCCAATTTAGAAAACCTGAACCGCCTACGCCATGTGCTCCAAGGTAAAGCACGTGATTGTGTAGCCACGTTATTATTGACCACCGACGACCCCAACGAAGTGATGAGTATACTGGAGCAAACTTTCGAACGCCCGGAGGCGATCGTCATGCGTGAGGTTGCGGAGGTACGTGGTTTACCTAGACTCTCACATGATCTTAGAGACATCAACAACTTTAGCTGTAAATTAAAAAATTGCATTTCAGTGCTAAATCTTTTAAACCAAAGCGAATATTTGTACTCTCCAGAGCTTACGCATAGTGTCTTAAGTAAATTAACTCCCCTTTTGCGGAATAAATGGCTTGATTTTGCCTTTACCAATGTTTCACTAGGAAAAAAAAAAATTTGTTATGTTATCCGATTTTTTAAGTCTAGAGACACACAAGTACAATAAATTTGGCATTACTGAGCAAATGTTCGTAAATTCTTCCTTTACTCGTCGTGAAAGTGTTAACATAATATCGACAAATTCACCTGTTATAAAAAGTACAAATGAAAATTGTGCTTTTTGTAACCAGAATCATACTATAAAAAAATGCACTAAATTTCAAAAACTTACCCCAGAACAAAGATGGTCATGGTTGTATGAGGTGAAATTTTGTTATCGGTGCCTTAGGGGAGGTTCACACCGATGGAAAACGTGCAAAGCGAAGCGGTGTGGTGTTGACGGCTGCCTTCGTTTTCATCATCCGTTGTTGCATGGGTGTGAGCCTCCACCATCCAAAAATTTTACGGTTCCTTCAAAATCATCCGACCAGAATATTACACCATCCGACAATACCATTGATGAAAAAGTCACGATAACGAATACGACCACTTCCTACTCTTGCTTACAAAGTGTCTATCTACGTATCGTCCCAGTAACAGTGTCCGGTCCTTTGGCAAGCGTCAACACTTACGCGCTCCTTGACGATGGATCCACAGCCACCCTTGTTGATTCTGATTTAGCGCAAACTATTGGGGCAGTGGGTCCAATACGTCAGTTGCGTCTAGAGGGCGTTAGTGGAATGACGATCGCCACCGAAGTACAGCTTGTAAATTTCGGTATTAAAGGGGCTAAAGAAAATATAATCTATGAAGTTCGAAATGCCAAAACTGTAAAATCTTTATCCCTTTTTACACAAAATATAAACAGAGATTACATAACCAAATATCCACACCTGTCGGACTTAGCAGAAAGTTTAATTTTAGACCATGCTACTCCGAAAATTCTACTTGGAGCTGATAATTGGCATTTAACTATTCCCAGGGAAGTGCGTGAGGGCTCCAAATCTCAGCCGGTTGCTACACGCACTCTTCTAGGATGGACTCTACATGGGCAGTCGAATAGCTGGACCCGTCCAGTACATTTTATTAATCACGCAACCGTCCAACATTTTGACAGTGTGGACACACCCTTAGACATTCTTATCAATGATTATTTTAAACTTGACAGTATAGGAATTTCTAAGGGTGATGTCAAAGATAATGAGCTAAATGAGCGTGCTTTAGTAATTTTAAACTCAACTTCGAAGCGTTTACCTTCTGGTAGATTTGAAGTAGGATTATTATGGCGAGATAACATAGTAAACGTCCCAGATAGTTATCCACACGCCCTCTCGAGGTTTCTTTCTTTAGAGAGACGTATGCAGAAAGATCCTCAGTTTATGTCTGGGTACAAAAGTTTTATTCAGGGAATGCTCGACAAAGGTTATTCCGAGCAATGTCTCGACACTTATGACTCTAGAAAACAACCACCTTCCTGTCCAAACGACAACAAAATTTATTGGTATTTGCCTCATTTCGGTGTCGTACACCCACAAAAGAAGAAATTACGTGTCGTACATGACACTGCCGCGAAAAGTCTCGGAGTAAATTTAAACTCGCTTTTGCTCACTGGTCCCGACCTATTACAATCATTATTAGACATTTTATGTCGATTTAGGGAAGGCCGCGTAGCTTTGAACGCCGACATAAGGGAGATGTTCCCTCAAGTGAGGATCAGGGAGCAGGACCGCGATGCTCTTCGTTTTTTGTGGCGTGATAACCCCAAATCTCCAATCATAGAATATAGGATGACATCTGTTATTTTTGGGGCAGCTTGTAGTCCATGCACCGCACTCTACATTAAAAACAGAAACGCATTAGAGTTCCACGATAAGTTTCCATATAAGTAGAAAAGATCATCAAAGATCATTATATGGACGATTACATTGGAAGCGTGGATTCCGAGGAAGAAGCCTCGCAGCTCGTTGCAGACATCGTTCATATCCACAAAGCTGCAGGTTTCGAAATGCGAGGCTGGGTATCCAACCACCCTTCTGTGTTATCGACCATTAGTGAAGACTTACATGGTGCTCCACAGATTTCAGATGTCGGTCTAGGGCCAGAACCCTTTGTTCGGACCTTAGGCTTAATCTGGCATCCGCAAAGTGACAAACTTTGTTTTAAATATTCGACAATAGAGATTGAACCATGTCTAACAAAAAGAAAAGTACTATCTTACTTGATGAAGGTATACGACCCACTAGGTTTTTTACTTCCGTACACTATTGAAGGAAGAATATTGTTTCAGTCAACATGGAAATCCAATATAGATTGGGACGATGAACTTAGCTCAAGCCATTCTATCGAGTGGATTTCCTGGATTTCCAAGTTGACAGATGTTCAAAAAATTAAGGTGCCACGTTGGTATAGTGATGGTAATGATAGTATCATCGAACGGGAGCTACACGTTCTTTGTGACGCCAGCGAATTAGCTTACGCTTGCGTAGCCTATTGGCGTTTTATTTATGATGATGGTCGTGTTAAACTTTCACTAGTAGGCGGCAAAGCTCGTGTTGCTCCCGTCAAGCCCGTGACTATACCACGTTTAGAGTTGCAAGGTGCGTTAATTGCTTCCCGGTTTGCAAAAACCATTTGTGAGGCTCACAGAAACAAACCAAATCGCATATTTTTCTGGACCGATTCTACTACGGTTCTTAGTTGGCTTAGAAATGACAGTCGTATATTCAAACCCTTCGTTATGCACAAAGTAGCTGAGATTTCTGAGTTAACCGAAATCTCAAGTTGGAGATACGTTCCAGGTAGTCTAAACGTCGCTGATGCTGCTACTCGTTCTGGTAATTCCCTAGAGCAGTGGCTAAGTGGCCCGCCCTTTCTTTTGCTCAACCCAAGCGAGTGGCCATCAGAGCCTCATATTAATGTTAAGACATTTGAAGAGGTTAGATCGAACTACAAAGATACCGTTCTTTTTATCGGTGCTACATCGCATTTAGAGCCTCTATCGGTTACTACGGATCCATCCAGACACAGCTCCTGGTTACGGCTTGTTCGATCGACTGCAACCGTATTTCAGGCCTGTGACATTTTCCGGTCCTTATTGTGTAATAAAAAACATAAATTACTTCGTCGTGTCCAATCTCCCCCCGTTCATCTTCATCCCCCATTATTAGCATCTCATATCATTAAATCTGAGGATATGCTTCTCCCACGTTCGCAAGTGGAATCGTTCGAAGAAGAAATCTCTTGTCTTTTGATGTCCAAACCTATTCCTAAGCATAGTAAATAGGGAAGATGCAATATTTTTATTTTTGTTTTCATTTTAAAGAATTCCATGTAGAATAAACCACAGATATATTAAAAAATTAAAATATTGTGATTTATCGGAAAAAAGGCGGTTTTAAATTGATAATTTAAATTTTCGCGCGAAAACGAACCTATGGTTGCGATGACGTCACTCCTGTCTGTCACTGGTCGTACTTGTTCGTTGCTGGCTTTAAATTTTCATACTTTTGCATATTTTTTCGACTTTCGAAATATTTTTTTGAAAAATTTAAAATGGACTATCCATCAACATCGTGTGACTCATGTTTTGTGCCAATCTACTTCAACAAAGTTCCCAAATAAATTGTTTTTGACTGGAACTTCTGACCCAAAACTGAAAAAAAAGTGGTTTCAAGCTGCGAAGAGAAATGACAATTATTCTCCAAAGACCATTATTCGATGCTGAGAAGATCACTTTGACGTAAGGCCGCGAATATACTTGTTATATGCTTAATTAATCTGCTTGTACGTAAAAACGCATTAGTAACCTACCTAATACTTACAAAACCTGTCTATAACATATTTTTAATTTTACAGTTGGAGAATGACGTCGAAAATTAGATAAAGTTAAAAATGTGTGGCACAATCTTCACATTGGCAGGACTGAACCAAGCTTTGCGTTTCATTTAAAACAACTGTAACACGATAACCTTCTTTACGTACTTTATGC